GGTAGGCACCTGGAGCTACATCTTCATGTTGGCCTCTGTGTCCTGTGACATGGTCTAGTTCATGGCTCTGATCTCATTCTCAAGGCTGCAGACAGGGTTCTGATTTCACCTGTGAAGGAGGGAGCTGGGCCCTATCCTCCCGGCAGCTCCAGCACCTGTCGTTTGCCCAATGTTCCTGTTAGATCTGCTGTGGAGAGCGCAGGTATGCCCTTCTGAAAGGGAGAGCACACGCTGTAGTGTGTCTGTCTTGGGTCTCCTGGCCTTGTGGACTGAAATCCTGTCATTGGCGGCCGGTCCCTTGCTGGTGTGTGGGAAATCATTTGTCTCTGTTCTGCACCTTTCCAGGTCAAAAGCTGGATTGACGAGGCCACAGCCTCCTTTCCTCATTCCTGGGTCATCTTCCACATTCCTTCAAGCCAACCTTGTTAATTTTTATTTTTTATTTTTTTGGGGGACTTTAAGAACCACAAATGGTAGCACCTGCCACTTAGCCATAGTCAGAAAGTCTTTGAGTCCAGTTGTGGGTGGCATATAGCTGCTTATAAAGAGTGAGTGCCCAGGATCAGAACCTCTTCCCTGTGCTTGCCAGAGCTCCATCCATCCCACTTGCCTTCGCTTCCACCTGTCATCATCAATGCCTCCGGCAGTGCTGGAGTGTTGGGTTCCTGGTGCCCCTGACTCGGAAGGGTTGACTTTTAGGGAAGCTTTGGTGACAGTTACTGGACCTGGGATGCCAGCTGCAAGCCACAGAATTACTTTGTGAACTTCTCTCCAGTCAGTATTCCAGTCTTGGTCACAGGTACCATGGTGGGCAGAGTTGGAAAATGTGGTTACCAGGGATTCCGAACCACCCTCCCCTTTTACAGTTAGCTGGATTAGCTGTGCCAGACTAAAGTGAGCCAGGTTCCTCCAGAACCTTCTGCTGGCTGCTACTGACCGTCCGCATTTCCAGTACAGAGGAAGAAGGAGAAAGCTCATGTGGTGGCCCAGACAAACCACCATGTGTTTCCAAAGCCACCATCCACCTCCTGGCCCCTGCTCACCAGGGCCTTCAGGGATCAGATCAGGTTGACAGGAAGTTGCAAGAGGTAGCATTGTGAGGGCAAACTTGGCAGTGATTGAGGGTGCCTATCCAGGTCCTGGGAGAGAGACATTGATGCCAGGGTTCCCAGCTGACCCTACAGGGGAACTACATGAGCCAGAAGCTGGCTTCAAAGTCCTACTATGGGTTTGTAAGTTTGTTTTATTCTTTATAGGATTTTAGGGATATTCATTATCATACTGAGTTAGAAATAATTTGTAAACATCAGACCTATGGCTACATGTAGTGGGACTTGCCTGTAATCCCAGCACTAGGGAGGCTGAGGTAGAAAGATCTTGAGTTGCAGGCCAGTCTGGGCTTTATACAGTAAGACCCCTACTCAAATAAATTTAGTAGAAGGATGAGAAATTAGCGGGGTGGTGGTGGCGCACCTTTAATCCCAGCACTCCAGAAGCAGAGGCAGGCGGATCTCTGAGTTCCAGGCCAGCCTGGTCTACAGAATGAATTTCAGGACAGCTAGGACTGTTGCACAGAGAAAGCCTGTCTCAAAAAACCAATCAAAAACTGAGAATTCATTGCTGGGTCTATTGTTGGAACAAAGGAAGAAGAGGCCACTGGGCAATCTGGGGTGCTGGTCCCATCATCACCCTAGTGTTGGTGCCCTTTCACCATGATGGCCAGGAACCAGGTTATGAGTAGAAAGCTGCAGTCTGGTAGCACGTCCTCCTGCCTGCGGCTCTGTGGCCCTTTCTCTTACATCCCAGTGAGCCAGGTGCTGTTGGGTGAGAACACAGAGGTCGAACCTGGTATCTTTTTGAATTTGTAAAGCTAAGTAAATCATGTTGAACTTAAAACCATCAATACGTGCAACAGTTTCAAGGTGATAATAGTGATTCCAAGGCCACTGAACTCCCTGACCTATCCCTGAACGCAGACTCCCTTGCAGGGTTTTGCTGAGTTGATCTAAAGTCTCCTTGATTTCATTTGCCCCGACCTAAGCATAACTGGTGAGTCTTAGGATCAGCCTGACTATTCCTGACCAAATACTATTAAATGTAAAGAAGTTCATCCAGTGCAGTGAATCCCCCTTAAGAACCAGAAGCCGACCGCTTCTGACCCTGGGGACCCATCTCACAAGGCTAGAGTAGATTTCTGTTTGTGCCCAATGATGTGGTCTTTCCTAGTCTTCCTTTTGACTATGTTTTTAAATTACTTTAGATAATTCTGTGCAATGTTTATAACCTTTCCTAGTCTTCTGATGTTCAGTTAACACAGCCAGCACCCAATGGGGGACCTGTTAGGAAAAGAAATCAGTGCTTAATGTGGTTAGCAGGAAACTTTCCCAAAATTGTTGGTTACTGGGCTTGTTCCCGAATCATAAAGCCAAGTCTCTTCTCAGATGTTCAGGTGCCAGGTTTTACTAATCCCAGTGCCCCTTGTCCTGCTGACCCATGACTTTTATTCCAGGTAAATCTTGTGCAAAGAAGCTGCCGTTGTTGCAGCTGGTAGTCTCCATCATTCAAGCTGTCCCTGGAGAGTCTAGGTGCTGTGGTACGGAGAACTGGTGGGCCATGACCATCTTCCTTGGCTTTCCATGCACCTTTTATTGAAGGATAGCTGTGAACAGTGTAAAACATGTCTGATCTCATTCTTTTCCCAGGGTTTTGAGCTGTGAACCCATGTGTCCCAGCACTGGCCTGTTCCTTTTATTTTGGTTCAGTTTCCTCCTACAGAAATAGCAAAGCTACATCTTTACTATCCTCACAAGCACAGTATGTGTTGTCACATGCTGTGAGTGTGGCTGTGGTGTGTGTTGGTGTGTGTACATATGTGTATATGTATATATCATGCGGCAGGCCTGTCATGCTGCTGTTTGGTGGCAAAGCAACAAGTACAATAAAAGTCGGCTCCAAAACAGCCTGTGGTTTCTTCAAGTGTTGGGCAGGGGTAGGGTCTCTTGGCAAAACACCAAAGGAAACCCTAAACTTACTATGTACAGACAGGTACATGTACTTGAATGCACTGCACTGCATAGGCCCTGGCCAGCATTTGGCTTCAGCTGTGTATGTTGGTCACAAGGGTGACCATACCAAATATATCCCTCGGGACCATGCCAAGCTCACCCGATCATCGAATATATGAGGTCTAGCACATAACTAGAAGCTTTCCTCTCTTGAAACACTAAAACCAATTTATGAGCACCTGTTGAAATCAGTAATCAAGGTGCACGCAGAGGACAGCCTGGGAAGGGGCTTTCTGTGTCCAGTGCCCCATAGGCTGTGCTGCTGGGAGATGGTTTTCTAGGGAACTGTCTTATGCTAAGTTGGAGGAAGAAATTTTAATTTAAAGACAATTTTTAAGAGCTGAATGTAAGTGCATGGAAAGCCTGTACCAGTTTTACCCATTTACTGAAGTCCGGATAGAGCAGAGCACAAACTGCTGTCGGCCCAGGCTACCTGACTTTGGTGTGCCTCCAGGGGCCAAGCTGAAAGCTGTGGTGGTTCCGCATGGTGACCTGTCTAAATGTTGACCTAAAATAAATGTTTTCACTGAAGACCAGATGTGTGTCTTATTAGTGATTCCTGCCTAATTCTGTTCATGAATTTGGCATTGAAATGGCACCTGGTGTTAGCCCCTGCTGGGTCCCCTGTGGGCTGAGGCCTCATTTCCACTTTTCTGATCTAGCTGTGAATACCCCTCCTCAGTTCTGACACCTCATTTCTAAATGCTTTGTCCAGAATAAAGAAAAGAACTTGGTTTTTTTATTGAGAAAAGGAAGAAAAAGAAAAAAAACAAAAAACAAGTTTCCACCTCCTCCCAGCCTCCCATTTCCCTCCCCCTCCTCCCACCCTTCTCCCACTCCTCCCACTCCTCTAAAAAAAATAAATATTTAAAAAAAAAAGAAAAGAACTTGTTAGTCCCTCATGCCTTTAATCCCTGCTAAGGCAGCTGGATTTTGTACACATATGTATATTGGTTTGATTTGTTCTCCAGAACCAATCATCCTGGTTGGACTTGGGTAGAACCCTCCTAGGAAGGACCTGGTTTCTACCCAGGTTCTCACAGTATTCCTAAATTCTTCCTCTGGGAAAACCTAGCTGGAAAGAATAATCTATCTTCAGTTTTCTAGCATAAAGTGCAGGAGAGCCTGGAGCCATGGGATAGGGTCTACTTACCATGTTACAGAGAAGGTGCTCCTGACCTCTGCTTTGGCCCTCTGTCACTAGTGCCTGGCTGCCCCTTGAACAAACCACTCACCTTATCTCCCCACCATTGTAAGATCACCTCTACTCAGCAACTTCCTGTCCCCAACTTGTTACAAGTAGGAAAAAGGCACACACCAAACTTGAATAGGGTTTTTTGGGGAGCCTGTCTTAGGTTCCTAGCCTACCTGTCACAGCCCATATCAAGTACCTGTCAGTATGCACTTGTCTGTCATCTCATTGGGATAGAGTCATCATGACAGCAAGATGCCCAGCAGTTTCCAGAGAAGCTTGTCTTACCCTCTAGAGTCTAGTAGCAGCAAGGTGGGGCCAGACATGAGACTCTGGTTCTGAGAACCTGAGGCTCTTACCATCTTTAAGCTGGGTTTTCTCCCATGGCTCAGTCCTTGCCATAGCTGCCCACACCCACTATGGTAATGTAAATGTTGGGAGGAAATGGTCACAGAGGCTGCCTCCTATATAGATCTTAGGTCGCCCTGTCTCTGGGTCCAAGTCAGGTGGGTATCGAGCTGTGTGGTTCATTTAGACTCTACTTATCCCCATCAGGCAATGAGTGAACTTCAATCGTAAGGAAAGCAGGATGCAGGGATAAGAATACCTTGTCTCTCGGACAGAAGCTGGACCTCATTCTCAACTTCTTACAGTTTCTATTGCTGTGCAGAGACCATGACCACAGCAACTCATAAAGGAAACCATTTAATTGAGGCTGGCTTACAGTTCAGAGGTTTAGTCCCTTATCATCATGGCGGGAAACATGGCAGCGTGCAGGCAGACACGGTGTTGGAGAAGACGCTGAGAGTTCTACATCTTGTTCTGCAGGCAACAGAACTGTACTGGGCGTGGCTTGAGCATATATGAGACCTCAAAGCCCACCCCCACAATGACACTTTCCAACAAGGCCACACCTAATATTGCCACTCCCTGTGGGCTAAGCATTCAAACACATGAATCTATGGGGGTTAAACCTAATCTACTACAAACACTTTGGGGAGACTGCCTCAGCAGAGCCCACCCAGAATACATTCTGCTACACCTTCATTTTTCTAAAGCTTTATTTATTTTGTAAACTGAGTATCATTGGTAACATTTTTACATTCAAATAAGTTAATGTGTTATCTCTGCAATCTGGATAGAAATGAGAGTAGCTCCGACTGGGAACTAACCCACAGAGGCTGTCTCTTCCTCATCACTGCCATCAGGAACTGCATCTGTCCCAAAGTAGCGATCACCAAAATTCCCTGCGAAAAGAAATGGCCTTGTGTGACTGGGTCCTCCTAGATCATCAGCCGTGCCCCTGGACTATGACAGCCTCACCAATGCCTGGGATGATACGGAAAAGGTCATTGACACGCTTGTCCACAGCTGTGGTGATAATCCTCACACGTGGAAACGCATAGGCCACAGAGTGCACACCCATCTCTGCCATGAGCAGGGATAGCAAGAAGATCTTGTCTTCGGGCACATCATGGTCCTGTGTAGCATGGGAACAGGGTAAGTTCCAACACCAAGGGAACCACCTGCAGCCCATCCAGGTCCACTTACCAGGAGCACACGAACAGCCATCATGGCTGCGGCTCCTGTGGATACTGTGCAGTCCATCAGGATCACGTGGTCATCACTAATATCCTTGGGAAGTCTTAGGTAGTGGAGCTGTAAATGTTCGTAAAGTCAGAGTAGGGCCCCACTCTCCCCATGGGCTGGGCATCACTGTAACACCCTTCCCAGCCCTCCCTGGCTGGACACCTCAGGCTCCCCTGTGAGCTGGTTGGTCTGGATGAGGATAGTGCCGATGCGCACATCCTTGCACACGGCACGCAGCGCAGGCTCCATGGTTTCCCCTGCTCGCAGGATGGACACGCCGGTGATCTAGCAGGGAATAGAGGCTGACTGGGCTGCAAGCAAGATGCCTCAGCCTACAGCTTCCTACCCCAGCAGCTACTGCCCTTACCTGCTTTCCAGCATAGCATTTCCCCACGTAGTCCTGCCCCTGTGGGGTCTGTACAGTGCAGTCCTATATAGGGAGGTGGGGTATCTATGAACAGCCAGAGCTGAGCACCCCCCCCCCCCCATCGTAAGCCCACCAGGATGGCCGGACACCTTCCACCCATTCTCCCACAAACCCACACCTGGAAGGGTAGGAAGGACAGTGCATGTTCAATAAGCAGCCGCATCAATCTTTTGGAATAGAAAATGAATTCATCCCGGCTAGTCTCCTTGTCCCTGATGGTGGAATAAGGAAGCTTTAGAACAGGATGGACCAGAACCTGGGAGGGGGAGGAGGACGACGACAGAATTGGAGGTAGCACTCCATAGGTGGGCCTTTACCTGATGATGGTGTGCATGCCTCGTACCTGTGGTGTACTCTTGAGGACACTCAGTGTCTGGGGAAGGGGATGGCACTGGTGGGCTGAGGCCAACGCAGCCCTAGAGATACAAATTGATTGGAATATTTTATCCAAAAGTCCCTTTCTAACCCAGAGGACATCTGAACATCACTGTGGGGATGGGCATGTGCAGGGTGGGAGCTGTCTGCTGGCTATGGCTGACCCAAGAAAAATGCCTTGTCTCCTAAAATGCCAGGCAAAAGTGAGAATGCTCAATTCTGAACATGGAACACACTCTCAGTGAGGCGAATGCTGGGGGGCTGAGGCATGAGGTGTCCCCTCCTAGACTCAGATAAAGTAGAGAGGTCAGACATAGGGAAGAAAGGAGCTTACTGTGGGAACAGATTTCAGCCTCCAAATGGACAGCTTGTCCCCAACTTCTCCTGGGAGCAACATGTAAGCTGTAGGGCCAAGCTCCACTCAGATCCATCCCCCAAGTAGTGTGCAGTCCCTCGGGAGGGAGGGCAAAGCAAGGAGGGCTCAGTGCCAAAGGCTACCCCACCCAAAACCCAAGCCTGGAGAGGGAAGGGCCAAGGACTTGTCAGAGGCAGGAGGGCAGGCTGGTTAGGGGGAAAGGTACAAACAGTGATCTTGGAAGGGAGGGGTCACTGAAGTACAAAGTGCAGGAGCAGTGCAGGGCGTGGGCAGCACACAGCGCGGCACAATCAGAGCTTGCTCTGCTCACATATCCCAACGCAGCTTCCTCTGCTCGCCAGGTGAAGAGCGTGTTCAGGGAGGGAACAAGGCAGGAAACAGGTTTACAAAGAGGAAAAGAACAGAGAGAAGAACACTTAGTGGGAGATCAGCCAAGTCCCTGCAGAAGGTAGCCTGTGGGCCACCAGCTGGCTGAAGACTTGAGGCAGGAGGCTGGCAGCTGTCTTGGCACTGACATCCTTGGTGCCTGAAGGGAGAGCACCACCTACACCGACGTTTTTCCCTTCTGCTCACCAGTAACTTCCCGGAGTTGGAGGAGACCAAGGGGGGTCAGCCACCACTTCCTTGGCTGACCAAAAAAATGGAAAGTGGAGCTGGCTGTGCCTGGAGATTTTTCTCAGAATTGAGGCTTTGTAAGGGCCCTGGCACAGGTCTGTGGCACCCTGGTCTTGGTGAGGCCAAGTGGAGACTCATGCAAGGACAGGAAGCAGGGCTGTTTAGAAGGTTCTGGAGGCATTTCCAACAGTGGCTTAGAACTTCTGGGGCATCCAGTGGGACACAGTGGTTCAACGGGCTCTTCCCAACTCTGAGGAAAGCCTGGAGGAAGGGTAGTTCCCTGATGCTACCTATGACTCTTGCCTGGGCTTTGATCAGCAGTGGATGATAACGGCGTAACAGCCTATCCCAGCTTCATGCTGCAATTGCTCCTTCTGCCTGAGTTGTGCTACAGCTTGAAGACTAAGCTAGGATAGGGCAGGGCCTAGGTGGAGAAGGCAGAGCCAAACCCTCACTCCCCACTCCCCAGGGAGAGTCAAGGGAGCCTTGGCCCATTGTACGGTTCATTTTACAAGATACATCAGCCTAGATGCAGAGCCAGGCTTTACGGTCGCAAAGACATGTCAGGGTGGTCCCTGTCTTGGATCATGAATGGCAGTGTTGTTCCAGGAGAACAGCTTTGTTCTCTGTGGATGGACCCCAAGTTAGGCTGTATGGGGAAAGAGCCTCCATGACACATCTGGCCAAGACAGGTAAAACATAACCCTGAGAAAGGCCAGGCAGTGGTGGCATGTGCCTTTAATTTCAGCATTCCAGAGGCAGAAGCAGGTGGATCTTGAGTTTGAGGCCAGCCTGGTCTAAAGTGAATTCCAAGACTACATAGAGAAACCCCATCTTGAGAAAACAAAACAGTCCCCCCCCCCCCCACCAAAAAACCAAAACCAAACAAACAGAAAAAACCTGGGGAAAAGTCCTTAATTTCTTTGTACCTTAGTGTTCTTATCTGCCAGCAGGGGAGCAGCAGCAAGGCTGCTTACCACTCTACCCCTGTGGTATGGACTGACTGACTGCTTGGCTAGGTGACAGTCGACCCGGAGTTCTATGAAGATGTTGGAAATGCCTCCAAATCTGCAGAGAGTTGTGGAGTCTTACCTGACGCTGAGTTCACGCTGTGGCAGCAACGCAGGGAGACACAAGGGAACGGGTGATGCATCAGTGACCAGGGCAAGCAGCCAGGCTACCCCTAACCCCAGTGACAGACATCCACAGCCCCACGTGGAAATAGCAAACTACAGGAGGAGGCAGGCTTCTAAGGACCTCTGAAGTGGGGACAGGCTGGGCTGCAGCAGTAGTGCCAAGGCAGAACTAATGCCAGACACCACAGCACAGCCATGAACCACCTAATGCCGGCCCCGTAGCGGGAAAATCGGACTCAGTGCTGAAGCCTATAATCCTAGACTAGTGGTCCACCCTTGTTACTCTCAGGGCTGGCAGGGACAGGAGTGCACCCTTTCATGCATGGCCAAATCCCCTTGCCTATCACAGAGGGCTGGGCCATTTAAATAAGCTTAGGAGGCAGGCTCAGAACCTGTAGGGGACAGTGGATGTGTGGGGTGGAGTGCGCAGGCTGCTGTGGGGGGGAGACAGTAGAGAGACAGGGACTTGGGTATTATCAGGCTGACTCACCTCTTCCAGCTGGCTGTGAACGTGCTGCACAATCAGGTCAATGGCTACTGTGTTCCCGCTCCCTGGAGGGGGAGAAAGAGGATAACTTAGAAGCCTTCTGGCCCTTCTGCCCCGCTGGCAGGAAGACAAGGCTGGCAGGCTCACCTCTGGGCACTACAATATCTGCCAGGCGCATGGTGGGCTGGATATACTGATCGAAGGCAGGCTTGACAAACTTGTTGTACTGCTTAATGACGCCCTCAATATCCCGACCTCGCTCGCTGATGTCCCGGCGTAGCCGCCGTACCAGTCGGATATCAGAATCTGTGTCTACAAAGATCTTCATGTCTAGGAGCTGGGTGGGGACAACAGGCCAGTACACAGGGCTGAGGCAGGCATCAAATAGAAGAGGAGCCACAGAGCTAGAGTGGCAACATGATCACCTCATGGTCTATGGGCTGTGATCACTGGGGTCAGCTGCTACAGGACACCCACTGGCCTAACCATTAGTATAAGTAAGGGGCACTCATAGGAAGTGTGCATTAGGACGCATGTGGGTGTGAGGTACAGATGGAGACACCTGACAAGTCAGACAGAATTGGGACTTGGCAGGATGATGGACATATGACTCATTATACCTCCCATGAACACCGGAGAAGTGGGGCTTTGAGAGTTCAGGGTATGGCCTTCTCCAGTCAGCATGTGATAGGTAATCCCTGAAGGAGCCATGTGGAGATTGGGGCTGCCATGTGGAGATGGTAAGAGTCCTCTTGGCCTGGGCCAGGGTCTTGCAGCAAACTCACTGGCTTTAAGTCCTTGTTTGTTCCTCAACAAGGAAGAATCTCAAGAGCAGGGGAAATAGAAGTAGAGCTCTCAACATCCCATATTCAAGGGAACTATGGTCCCCAGAAGCCACATCCTCCTACAGTGGTCAGTTAGCTAATGGTACAGAGCAGTTGTGAATGTCTAAGAGACACCAGGAGGGTTCATCTAGAAGCATCTGATTGGGAGCAATCTGTTCAGAGAGCACAGAGCATGGAAGCCGTGGGGATGGGGCAGGGTATTTAAAAGAACTGTGTTTCCGGGGATGCCTGTGGGGTGGGTGCTCCCAGCAAGCTCTCACCTCCAGCAGTGTCTTGTCAGCAAAGGCCATGATGCCTTCAAAGATGATGACATTTGCACCATATAGTGTTTTCTGCAAAGGAACCCAGGGAGTTTCAATGTTCAGCTCAGGCCCCTGCAGCCTCTGGAAGAGCCCCAAGACCATGGGCCTACCCAGTCCTTTTTCCGGCTATGGGTGGTGAAGTCATAGATGGGTATTTGGACGCTCCTGCCCTGCTTTAGTTTCTTGAGGGTCGAAATGATGAGGTCAAAATCGAAGGCATCAGGGTGGTCAAAGTTGAAGTTGTTGCAGGCAGCCTGTTCCTGCTGCTGCTGCGTCAGAACCTAGGGGAGCATGATGAAGCCCTGTGACCAAAGGTCTACGTTTGTAGGGGTGAAGGAGGTACTCTGGGGAGATGAGCAGGGCCTCACCTTATAGAAGGAGTCCATGGACAGCAGGACCACCCAGGGCACATCTAGCGCTTCAATGATCATCCTGGCTACGGTGGTCTTCCCAGATGCACTGCCACCTCCCAAGCCTGTAGGTGGAAGGTTACCTTGCCATTAGTTGCACTGGGCTGACCATGTAGACTGACCCCCAAGGTGCCTTCCCACACTGCTATTACCAATGGCAAAGGCCTCCTTGGACTGTGTGCCATGTTCATTGTACCATGGTGGCCGCCCGGCTGTGTAGATGGTGCGTTTGCTCGTGCGAAGCAGGGGTGGCTCTGACTTGCACTGGCTGGTGGTACGCTTCCGGGGCGAGCGCCCGGTACCCACTGGTGGGAAGAGTCTGTCCAAGGACCCTGCGTTGCTGCTGTGAAGACGAATGTGCTCAGCCTCAGTCAACAGTCGTCAATCTCCCTGGTCATGCCCAACAGGGACAGGTACAATATGGGCTCAACTGGGGAGAGTGTGCCCAAGAAACGTACCTGTAGCTGGTCCAAGGAGTTAATGGGGCCACAAAACCTTAGACTGTTCACACAGCAAGGACAAGGGACAACAATGAGTGACAAGAGGGCATAAGAAGGTATACACATCTCTGAGTCACAATCCTATCCCTCTGTGGACTATGGTAGGTAGGGCCTCATGCCCAGGAAATGAATACCCAAGGGTAGGGAAGATCCCATTAAGGACTGTGCCCCTCTCCCTAACATAGTCCAGTTACTGCTGCCCTGGAGGATGGTTGTTGCCCCAGGAGGTGAGAGTACAATGTACTGGCCACATACCAGTGACAAGTTATATATTCTAGGGATTTCTCTGGTCTGGCACGCCCTGGTCTGGCACCCCGTCAAGGAAAGTAGGAAAGGAAGAAGGGAGGCTAGAAGACCTATGAAGAACCCACTTTTCAGTATGACTCCTTCTGTGCTCCAAACCAGACAACGTCCAGCAGCCTGTAAATGCCACCTGTGTGGCTGATGTGTGTATGTGCACACACGTATGCACGTTATGTGGTGGTGGTTTGAGATGGTGACCCAAGACGGAGAAGGAAGGACTAACCAAGAGTGTGCAAGAGGGAAATGCAACCCGAAGAAGGTTAGAGCAGCTCTGTAGCTTTGTACATAGCCTACCACTCATGCTAGGTGAGCACTCAGAACCCTGCTGATACCGCAGTTAGTCTGCCTTTCTCGATGGTGCCATTTCCAGCCATGGCCTTCACATCTGAGAATGAGCAGTGGTGGGTTGAATAAAAAGGGCCCCCAGAGTCCCATAGGGAGTGAAACTATGAGGAGGTGTAGCCTTGTTGGAGAAAGTATGTCACTGGGTCCCTGGAGGTGGGCTTTGAGGTTTCAGAAGTTCAATCCAGGCCTACTGGCTCACTCTCTTTCCGCTGCCTGTGGATCCAGATGTAGAACTCTCAGCTACTTCTCCAGCACCATGTCTGCCCCCATGTTTCCTGCCGTGATGATAACGGACTAAATCTCTGAACTATAAGCAAGCTCCGATTAAAAGTTTTCTTTTACGAGAGTTGCTGTGGTCATGGTGTCTCTTCACAGCAGAAGAAACCCTGAGACAAGGAGCGTCTGCAGAGGCTCAATGTGCTACATCACCTTCCTATTACTTGCCGCTTTCCCTGAGGTACAGCCTGATGCAGAAGTGCTAAGAGAAGGCTGGAGAGATGGCTCAGCAGTTAAGAGCACTGGGACTACTCTTCAAGAGGACCCAGGTTCAATTCCCAGCACCCACATGGCAGCTCACAACTGTCTGTAACTCTAGTTCCAGGGGACCTGACGCCTTCACACAGATACACATGCAGGTGAAACACCAGGTGCACATAAAATAAAAATAAATCTTAAAAAAAAATTATTTAATTTGCCAGGCGGTGGTGGCGCACGCCTTTAATCCCAGCACTCGGGAGGCAGAGGCAGGCGGATCTCTGTGAGTTTGAGGCCAGCCTGGTCTACAAGAGCTAGTTCCAGGACAAGAACCAAAAGCTACGGAGAAACCCTGTCTCGAAAATCAAAAAAAAAAAAATTAATTAATTTAAAAAAGTGCTAAGAGAACAAGACATATGCTTAACAGAGGCACTTTCTGGCCAACTGCCTGAAAGGAAATCTGGGTAGGTCACATGATCCCAGCCTCAGCTTTCAAACTTCTCAAGAGGCTCTCGGGTCAGTGGCTTTGCCTGGCATGCTGTGTCTTACCCATGTGGGGTCAAATTGAACTGGCCACTGATGATACACAGTAGTGTTTGGTGGGTAGGGGGGCTGCCTATAGAAATGGCAGGTGGACGTGCCTGTCTAGCTCCTTGTGCGATGCCTCCTACAGTGGCTGGTAAGTAAAGTCTGGAGTACCGCAAGAGAAAGAACACTGTATGGAATACCAGGTAAACCTGAGGTGAATGAGGTAGATTGGCAGGTCCAGAGGGGAACAAGTATCCTGGCTAATGTACCAGGATGTGGCCCTAGACAGTTTCTTTCTACCTCTGGGATGGCCCAGTTTGGGGACAGTGAGCATCATAGAAAGAACCCATCTGTATCCAACCAGGAAAACACACTGCACACATCCTTGGGGACAGAGACAGTAGGCCTGCTTGTTTCTATACCATCCATCCGTACCAGATCTCAGAGAATGAGCACAGGGAATAATTAGTCAGTCTGTTAAGTTCAGCCTCACCTCCATTGCTCTGGAGACAAGTGCAGGAGCTGAGAGCATGGAGCCAGGCATAAACAACACATCTGAATACGGAGACCTGAGTCTGCCAGACAGGGGTCTTAGGGACAGATAGCATGTAAGGGACACAGGTCACGAAGGGGCATCACCTGCATCCTAACTCCGGCCTGCCTGAATGTCTCAGTCAGAAAGGGACACAACTGTAAACCCAAACAATGAGGTCCCCAGATCCCAGACAGAGGGTAACTGGTTGCTCACTTGAACATACTAATCCATCCACGTAAACAAACGGATCTGTGAAGCTTATCTACTGGGCTGTCCTTTCCAGTGGGCAAGAGCTGGGGGGCCCCAGCTAGAGGAAAGAACAGAGATTCCCTAGGGTTCCAGACTGAGTCTTGCCTTGGTCCCTAGGAGCAACATGACCACAGCACGCAGAGTAGCTCTGGGAGGCCACAGAAAACAAAAATCAAATTCAGGTCCTCTGTCTCCCCACTGGGCCTCCTCCACCTACCCCAGGGAGCTGTCCTCAGCTTTTGGGAGGAAACTACTCCAAAGCAGAGCATCTGACTTGCAAGAGGGCCAAACAATCTGATAAAACTCCTAGCACTGCCTGCCTGTAGACTGTGCCCTGGGCATCACTGGTAAACACAAGGACACACAAAGCCAAGATATTCAGACAGAAATTGAGCAAAGGAGGTAACAGGCAGGGGTTGCCTTCCTGGTCTCCCTGATTTTCAGAGTACCAGCTTCCTTGGGGAAATTTAAGTTCCCTCATGAAGATCCCTTCCAAGGCTTGTTCTGCTGATGGGCAGAGTGCCCAGGTGCAAGCAGATCATGGAGAACTTGGCCAGAAATCTGCCTCATGCTACATCTGTACCTAGCCCAGCCCCCCGTCCTCCTCAAAGCTAATACCCGTCTCCTGGAGCCAGAGATAAGGCATCACCCCAGTTCCCACAAAAGGGAAAGAAGCACAACATACTTCATCTCTTATCCACAGACAGACAAAGGGGTTTCTGGCCTCAACAAAAGTTCATTTGTACCAACAGAATTAAGAGACACAGCGAATGCAAGACGCTACCACAACCCACAACCCCAAGCCAGCCACATCTGCAGCCCTGAGCTCTGTTCAGCTCCCAGGAGTACCTGCTGGCTGGTTTGTTTTCAGATATCCATGGGCATGCATCAAACAAGTCAGGAGTGGTCAGTAGCATTGGGAAGCAGGGTTCTCATCAGCAGGGACTCTGCTGCAACTCACCTGCCTTCTGCTCCAAGAGTCCAGCACCCTGAGATCCTGAGGCCAGGGTAAACTGGGGGGCTGCTCATTGCCAAGGACGCAGGGAGGTACAGAGGGCTCAGAGGTGGGTGTCCCTGGACAGTGGGTGGCCCAAGTATGTGTGGTCTAGGTGCTAGCAGTGAGAGTATCACTCCCTCTTAGAACTACTGTCGTCCCCAAGGACAGCTTGGGCTTTCTGGCCACCTGAACTAGTCCTCCATGGGTAGAATCACTCCTATGGACGGCACAGCAGAAGAGCTAGGTGGTATTGGACCCCTACCTAGGCTGGCAGCAGTAGCTTACTATATACAAGGGGTGGGGCACAGCAGCTAGGTAGGCCCAGGAGCCCTACTGCACTAAGGGAACACAATGTTAGTCTCAGAGGCCAAGGCCACATGTATAAGAGGATCATCCTGTTAGGACTCATGTACCAGATATTAATAGTACTGAGTCTGGCCTGCACAATCCCCAGGCCAGTTGGTGTGAAGTGTATTTCAGTGTTAGCCAGTACGCTCATTGGCTACTTGTGAAGGCCCACTGTATTCTAGTACCTTTCCCCCAAATTTCCTGGAAGAAATACGGTTGTGCCCGAATGCACAAACAGGGAGACAAGGAAATCTGAGGCCCCTCCAGACCAGGATGAATGTCAGTGCTGAGTTGGTTGCCTCTCCCATGGCCTCAAGGTGCCTCCTACAATGATAAACAAATCTGAAACTCTACCCTAGCACACCCAAGAATAACTGTGCCATCCCCCACCTTACAGAGGCTCCAGCAAGTCCTATGGTCACCCAGGCCTCATCAGTCAGCAGGGAAACTGGCACCTTCATGTCCACAGCATAGAGAGAAAGGGAAGATTTGGTCCCAGCCTCAGCTGAAATCTTTACTGACTTAAGATCTAGTCAGAGAAGTTCTGCTGGTCTTGGTGTTCTCTTCCAGAGGTGGGTTGGCCTTACTGCAACCTCATCCTACCCAGCTGGCCTCTAGCACAAAGACGGTCTGGCAGGTACTCAGGAAAAAGGAAGTTTCCAAGTGGACTTCACACACCTGAAAAGGAGCCACTCTGGGAGCACCTTGGCGGAGCTCTTCCCACTATCTAGGTAATTCATGGCTATGTCTACATCCCTACTAGACACCTGGAGCAGGACTGGAGCCTATGTATGTTTACATGTATGTGTATGTGTTTAGAGTTGGTCCCTCCGCCTCCACTCTCAGGTGGTTGGCTGGATATGGCCTAGGATTGCTCTGGGAGGCTGACGTTGTTCTGGGCAGGGATGCAGAGTGAATGGGTCCTAGGGAATCCGTTCACAAGTTTGGCTGGCTGATCACAACAGAGAATCCTGTCATGTTCTTTGAGTACCCCATCAGGTGAGGATCACGGAATATAAAAACAGGCCACAGGTCTATGGGAAGCTAACACTGTGCTCAGAAAGGGAAGGACTAATTCCAGGTTTGTTACTGTTCTAACAGAATAGATCCTACTTATTGATTCACTAGCCTTGGCCCCAGAACATCAGACCCTGACCCCTGAACTTCATCTTAACCTAGGATATACCAGGCTATCTGGCTAATAACTCTGGCCCCTGAGGTTTCCTCCTTTTAGGCCTCTATTTTAGGTCTCAGGGTTGTCTGAGGTAGGAAGTAGTGTTGGAAGCTGCTACTCAGTCTTCACTTCCCCCTGGCTACCCACGAGGTGACAGCTCTGTCAACTATGACTCAGATGCCACCACTCACCAGGGAGTTGTTGCAGTCCTCTATCCTTATCAAGGAAATAGGGTTACTGAGGACCTCATTGATAAGGAACCTGCATATGACAACATCATGGAAATAGAGCTGCCTTATAATTTGCACTCCCAGGGGCTGGAGAGATGGCTCAGTGGTTAAGAGCACTGGCTGTTCTTCCAGAGGTCCTGAGTTCAATTCCCAGCAACCACATGCTGGCTCACAACCATCTGTACTGAAAGCCTTCTTCAGGCAGAACACTGTATACATACTAAGTAAATTTTGGGGAAGGGGAGTAATTTGAAATCCGCCTCCCTTTAAAAAAAAAAGTAATTTGCATTCTTCTATGTAGAAACCAGAATCAAATGTCTACAGCGGGGTCTGCAGAGAGGAAGGCTCATCACTGACTACCAAAGGGCTAAGAAAGGTCTCAAGGTTCCTCTGCCATCACTAGATCTATAATCAAGCTACCCCTTTTGGTGCTTCTATGGAAGGCCTGCAAGAGGCAGGGAATGGCTCAGAGATAGTCATCAAGGCCACAATCACAAGATAGAGGCAAGACTGGGAGATTAGAGGCTTCCACGGCCCACTTGCCACACCGTAAGTAAGCCTTCACTCACACACCTCCACCTGCATCCCAAGACTCTGGGTGGGCACCATTAGCTTCCCTCCACTCTATAATTTCAGCCCAATATCCATTTTTCCAGGGCAGTCTGTAGCTTCTCAGTGTTTCCTCAGGAACCCTTGGAGGATGTGGCCATGACCTCTTTGCTTCTGGTTATATCGAGACATTCTCTCTTTGCTTCTGGTTATATCGAGACATTCTGAACTACAAAGTATCACAAACTCAGCCTTGTTAGACCAAACCAAGTCTTTCGGGCTACCAGTTAGAATGCCTTGGAGTGTGTGAACTAGCCGGGACTGACCTTTTCCACCTTCAGCACCTGCCGACCCGAAGTCGTCCGGGCTCACAATTCCCTAAGCGGTGCTCCTAGGTCCTAGAGCCGGAACAGACCAAAAGTGGTGCCACGCGCAGTTCCAAGCGCGGTCACCACCCCCTGGCGGCGGTGGCCTGGAGTTACTACTCGTGATGATCAGGCCGAGCCCTCTCCATGCTCCTGAAAGCCTCGAAAGGGCCCCCAAACATCACCACCCCATCCTACATTTCACAATTACGACTGGCCGCCAGGTGGGTGTGAGCTGGTGAGATCAAATTCGAGGAACTCAGAAGGTCGAGCACGCCCACCAGCCACCTGAGAGCCTAGAGTCAAGTGCGCAAACGCTAGGGACAGAAATCCAGGCCACACCGGTCAAACAGGTTCCCACTCTCCGCGCCTCCAAAAGCTAAGGGCTCGGGCCAGTTCCGCTTTCCATCCTGCTGGGGCCCTCCAGGCCACCTGCCACCTCCCTCTTCCCAGGCAGAGGGTTGCCGACACATGGCCCAGGAGGCCCCAAGGCTCCGAGAACTGGCAAAACCTGTCCAGGAACCGCGCGGCTGTGGACACCGAGCTGCCTATCTGCGGAGATACGGCGGAACCACCCGGGCTTTAAGAAGGGATGCAAGCCGGAGCGCTGACCCCTCCCAAGAGGCGAGCGCGGCCCCTGCCTTATCCAAGCCTGCGCCTACCGGTCCTCACACGCGGTCTCAGTTTGCTCGGCTGGGCGGCCAGGCACGTCTGGGGCCACAGCAGATTGTAGGGGCGAAGGGGCAGCGTCCGCGGAGGCCGGCGGCGCAGCCATGGCGTCCCGAACCTGGCGGAGGCCAGGGAAGCGCGCAGGAAGTCTGGCACGCTACGGACTACGAACCCCACAAGGCCATGCGGCAAGCCTAGGGAAGGGCCCGGGCTTCAACACAAACTCAGCCGCACAAAAGCCCTGGAAAAAAAAAATCAATAAACATTTATTTGATACAGTAATTTTAATACATACAGTTGACGGCCCACCACCGCACCACTCTGGGCCAGGGGATGAGGATGGGGACAGATGATCACAAGGCGGGCAGGACCCAAGCTCACCTCAAAACATCTTGCAAATAAAACACTTTGTAGATAGAATATATATGCATGTATATCTATGGTTACAAGTGATAGCCAGAAATGCACTTGTGTAATGAGAACTGCATTAAAACCAAACCAAGGAACCCAAAGTTTAGGAGGCGCTGCAGTCAGGTATGAGGGGTGACCTGGGAAACCAGGCCTCCAGGGCAAAGGGCCTGGGTTCCACCCAGCAGGGGAACACAGGAACTACTCTCCACTCAGAACCACCATAGGGACAGGAAGGCCCAAAGTCCCCAGGAGGCACCAACATCTGCCTGTATAGGAACATAAAGTGCACCCTGGTTCTGCATGAAATGTCTGCCCTTGGCACTTTTCTGTTTGTTTTTTTTTTAGGGCAGGGCAAGCACTGAGCCAGAGGTAGATCTGTAGAGACCCTGACTTTTGCATTTTGCCAAGGACGGAGGGTTTGTTTGGGCCTCTAAGTCCAAGTCCATCATCTCCTGGAGATCTGCCACGATGGTCCCCTCTTACTGAGGGTCTGTGTAGGCTGGTGGTTATCTTTAGGCAAGAGTAGGGAGGTGGGCAAACTGATGAACCCTGCCCAGGGAGGGCCTTATCACCTTGGAAGAGAGCTTTATGGACTAGCTTGCCAAAACCCCTTACCAGCCACCACCAGCTGGTACCTATCCAACTGCCACGTGACAGCTGCCCCCAAATCCACCTCAAAGACAAAGGAGTTAAAGTGCTAAACATCAAGTTACCAGAACCCCGAGTCCCACATCAAAGCCTACATTCTGGGCTTTGAGGCATGTCCTGGAAAACAGCCCCCAGCAAACCCAGGTACCTGAGAGGCTGGGGTGGATGGTCACACCCCACGGAAGTGTTGTGAAAGTGCACTTGGGCCCTGTTCCCTTCCACAATTGCACACCACCACCTGGAAGTCCCAGCCTACCTATTTACCCACCTCTGTGGCCACCCTCTCATCATGGCAAAGGTGTGTAGGAACTGAAGAGTCCATTAGACAACCCAGCACATAACGCCCCAGCTGCCCAGAGTCAGAGCCTTCCTAGACATGAGTGTACAAGGATTCCATCCCAAAGCTCCTTGGCACCCTTCCCCTGAGGTTAAGGGGCAGGTGCCAGTTAGCTCAGCTCTACCTTCGGCACCAGGAAACCCTTAGCACCAAAACATAAAAATTTTGAGTTTTGTATAAAAAAAAAAATTAAAAAAGGTTGCTACTTGTCACAGCAACAAGACTGGCATCAACAACATCCAGGAGACACACGCGGGCAAATATCAAAATTCACATCATCCAGGATCAGAAACAGGCCTCAGCCCAACCCTATCCACACTGGAAAAAGCCTGTTCTCACCCCTCCAGCCTTTTTCTGGTGTGGCTCACAGAGTGGTGGGGCAGAGTCAGAAAGTAGAACCAAGGAGGCCAGATCTCTCTTCCAGGCCTTGCCCAACCTGCAGACCCTGTTATCCTCAGGGCCCCTAAAGGGGTGGGGTCCAGCCTAGAGCTGAGACCCCATCTTTCACTATCCTTCAGTTTCTGTATCAAATGACTGACACTAGATACTGAGGGCAGATAAAGCAGGGAAAAAAAAAAAGAGGGCTTCCACAGAACTGGGCTTATAGGCCCACCCAACATGGCAGACATAAACAGTCTCTCATAGGCGCTCTTGGGCTAGAGGCTCCTTCTGGCCAGCCTCCGCTTCCTATTGCTGTGGCCCCAAGGAGGAATCCCTTAGAGTGCCAACAAGATCAGAACTAGAAGCTGGAGGTGGAGCATTCTAGTCCTTTGCTCTCAGGTTGGTAGCTACTGGTCTGGGCCTCCCTGAAGGTAGAACATACAAAGTTCTTTCCTTGCCTGGAAGGCTACATACTCCACCATGACAACGCCAGTCAGTGGGGTGAGGCCTGAAACACAGCAGGGATGACAGAGCAGGGGAGCAGGCCCAGAGAGGTAGAAAACATAAGCAAGGGGTCATAAGTGGACGCGAGAGGACAGATGGGTACCCGGGTGGCTGTCAGGGCAGCATGGCAGTAGCTAGACAGGGTCTGTCCTGGGAGGTAGCTGGGAGTACTGGAGATCCAGTGTCGGGTGAATCTGAGGCCTAAGTGGTGGCAGCCAAGCTGCTCAGGTGCCTCATCAGCCCACAATTATGGGTCACCAGGAATGTCTGGGCCTTGAGGAAGTCAGAGTGGGGACCCTACTGGGCCAGAGGGAGGTGGAGATAGGGGCCATTTGGCTGTTCAAGCACACTTCATGCCCCATGGCGCCAAGGTTCTAGATTCTGCAAGGTCCAAGAATGTCCTTGTAGGGACGGCTGGGGCATCCCAGCCTATTGCACTTTTGCTGCTGCCCCTGGCACTCCCGGGGAGCCCCACCTAGCCATGTGAAGTAGCCTAAACAGGGGGAAGGACCACTTTCAGGGAGATCAGAGTGGTTTGCCAACCCTCTGGACAGATGGGGGTGTGTGTGGAGGTGGAGGACAGGTCTGGAACTGGCTCCCCTAATTTGGACAAAGCTGGGCATGGTGGCTAGGCCCTGTGCACTGGGCTCACTTTTCAGGCGCCTTCCCAATTCCAGTCTTCTTCCCAGTGGAGCCTCGGGCCCCCCTGTCTCTGCCTCCTGGGGGCCAGTCATCCCTGTTAGGTGGCAGTTTAGATGCTGGCTCCTCAGAGGACCGTTCCTTGGGCTTGCGGCCCCGCTTCTTTCCTCCGGACAGACTTTTCTTCTTCTCTTTTCTAGGCATCAAGGAATCCTGGCTCCTGGGTTTAGGAGGTGGGTCAGCTGAGGTCCGAAACCAGTTCTAGGGAGAGAAAACTTGCAATCAAGACTAGGGACCTTGATCCAAAGCTACAGAACTCTTTTTTTCCATTAACTTTTTTCAAAGATTTATTTATTAAGTATACAGTGTTCTGTCTGCATATATTCCTGAATGCTAGAAAAGGGCACCACATCTCATTATATAGATGGTCGTGAATCACCATATGGTTGCTGGAAATTGAACTCAGAACCTCTGTAAGAACCGCCAGTGCTCTTAACCTCTGAGCTGTCTCTCCTGCCCTAAATTTTTTTCATTATTATTATTTTATTGTTGTGTGTATGTCTGCATGTGGGTATGGAGGCCAGGGAGCTGGAGCTATAGACAGTTATTAGCCTCTTGACATGTGTGCTGGGAAACACACTCTGGTCCTCTGGAAGAGCCAGAAGTACTACTCTTAACTACTAATACATTTTTCCAATCCATTTAAATTATTTTTTGGTCAGGCATGCAACTACTAGAAGTGGCTTAAGATTGGGTTTCCCCTGCCTTGGGAGACTCCCCTCAGTGGCTAGGTACCAAAATAGGGCATTTTTCTTTTTCTTTTTTTCTTCAAGATTTATCACTCCATGCTCTTGACACTTCAGGGGAAGTGAACTGTATTTTGAGAGAACACCAGATTTCTCAGGGTACACCATCTGAGAATGATGTGGGAGGGTCTTCTATTTTGAGTTGATTTCATTGTTTGATAGGACAGAAAATTAGGTAGGCGGAATAAACAGAACAGAATGCTGGGAGGAAGTGAGGCAATTGCCATGCCTCTCCTCTCTGGTCAGATGTGATGGAGCCAGCCGCCAGGTCAGACATGCTGAATCTTTCCTGGTAAGACACCACCTCGTGGTACTACTCACATTATTAGAAATGGGTTAATCAAGATGTGAGAATTAGCCGATAAGAGGCTAGAACTAATGGGCCAGGCAGTGTTTAAAAGAATACAGTTTCCATGTTATTATTTCTGGGGCTAAGCTAGCTATGCAGGAGCCGGGCAGGACGAAAAGCAAGCCTGCCCACACCTCCTTTCTACTGAGCCACCTGTTCTCTACAGCCCACTCCCAAGGCCAGTCTCCAGGACTAAAAGCCCAGAAGATAACTTTCATACCTCTGCATGAGTCTTAAGGATGTGGTACTTGACACCGCTCTCAGAGCTGAACTCTTTGGGACATAGCAGGCAGCGGTACTTCCCCACCAGATGGTCCCCCTGCAATGCACAGTGGTCCAGTACCCAACCTTCCGAAGATTCAAAGCACCCACATCTGGTCCAAGCCCTTATCCTGTTGCTAAAAGGTTAGGACTGGGGTCAGCTAGAGAGAAGCTCTTCTGTCTTCTTGGATGTGTGTCAATGGTGGGTTTAGGGACTGAAACACTACCCTGTAATAGGATTATTAAACCACAAGAGTAGGAAATAAGAGGAGGATGGGACGAGTCCTTTGGTGAATGTCCTCATCTCAAGTCAAGTGTGCCTTCTGCTCAGGTCAGGATGAACACTTAAACCATATAAAGAGAATCCAGAGTTGGATTTGGAACCAAACAACTAAAGTAGGGAACAGAGAGGGATTCTGGGCCCTCTGTTGAGGACCTTCTCGTCTCAAGCACGAGAGCATTTGCAGTGGACAGGGTAAGGATCTGACACCTATAGAGGTAAACGCTCAGTGCCCCACCCACCTGTTGGGGTAACCCCAGGACTGACCTTGCTGCAGCTGGCAAGATGGGCCTTGAGGCCGGACACACTGGAGTAGATGGCTTCACAGCACTGCAGGCAGGAGACAGCTGTGGAAGGAGCCCTCCCACAACTCTACACAAGGGGCATCCCACCCTCAACTCCAGAGTACTATGGGGCTTCTCTGGGGGCAGGTCCCTGAAGTCCTGGATTTTAGGCAGGGTAAGTAGATGGGTCCTCAGGCTGAAGTCCCTTTTGTTGACATGGTATCTATCTATGTGAAGACTCTACAGAAACCCAGGGTCAGAGATAGGCT